GTAAATATATTTTATATTTATTTTTTTAAAATTAAATAAATTATAATTAATTAATTTAATTTAATTTAGCTTTAGATGGTTGGACTAGTAAAAAAAATTTTTCAATTTGGAATTTTATAATAATTACACCTGAACATAAAGAATATTTATATAAGATTTGTGATTATTCAGATGAAATACATACAGGAGAATTTTTAGCTAATAAAATTAATGAAGTTTTAGATTCTATTGGAGCAGATCATTTTTCAGCTATAGTTAGTGATAATGGAGCTAATGTAAAGCTTGCACGAAATATTATTTCTTTACAACATCCACATATTTTTAGTATAAGATGTATAGCTCATGCAATTAATTTAGTTGCACAAGATATTTTAAAATTTGAATGGGCAGATAGATTAATTAAAAAATGTAATATTATATATAATTTTTTTAAAGCTTCACATCGAGCAGGTATAAATTTTAATTATATTTATATAATTGTTTATTTTGATTATAATTTAATTTATTATAATAATTATTTATTATTTAATTTTATTTATTAAAGGAGCAGAACTAAGATTATTAATAGAACAAATGAATATAACTGGTGGAAATCTTAAAAATTATACCAAAACTAGATGGACAACTGCAAGTGAAGCAGTTGAAAGTGTTTTACATTTAGAAAAAGTTTTAAAAAAGGTAATAAATTAAATTTTAAAATAATATTAATTATTAATTATTAATTATTATTATTTTTAGATTATAGAAGATAATATATTAACAAATAATCAAATTAATAGTATTATTAATCGTTATGATTTTTTTATTCATTTAAAAATACTAAATTTTGTATTATTACCTTTAAAAAAATCAATTTTATTATTAGAAAAAAATAATACAACTCTTGGTGATTGTTATTTAAGTTTAGCTAAAACAAGTGCAATAATTAAAAAATTACCAATACAACAATATACAAAATTTCGACAACATTGCATTAATGTTTTAAATAAAAGATTTGAAGAATTTGATGATGATTTATATATTTTAGGATATTTTTTAATGCCAAATTTTCGTAGTAAGTATAATTTATATTTTATTTAAAATAATATTTAATTTTATTTTAAGC